ATGTAAAAGAGCACTGGATTTATTCATTTATGCCTTCAGTGTAATGGTATGAACTGTGTACAGTTAAATCTATATGAGAAAAATAAAGTTGAATTGTCTTTGGGTTACTCTCAAATGCTTTTCTCTTTAATGCATGGGGCTCGCAGTGATGAATGAGAGACTTAAAAGTTTCAGCTAGACTTTATTCTTAATATATCACAAGAAAAATGTGTCCTGTTGGTGTTTTTATTATTTTGTCTTATCGAAACACTCTTAGAGCGAGTTAACCCACAAATTCATTTACCCATTGAGAGCATTTACCACACACTTAGGCCTCTATTCAATTGTGGAGATGCATTTAGTACCACCAACGGGCAGTGGTCAGTCATTTAACAGTGATCGATGCTGTTTTCCTCTCTCACTCTCAGGGTGGGAGTGACAAGAAAGATGCATGGAAGGAGACAATGAGGAAGGAAAGGAGGAGAAATAAAACATGCGCTGAAACAGATGCCTGGTTGGCTGTTTCTCTGATCCTATCAGTGCTAAAGAGACACAGGAGCAGATTGCAGTGCTGTTAAATCTACCCATAATCCCTGGACTGTTAACTAATTGTAGGGTTCTTAGTGGAATGTGGGCAAATATGTCATATTTCATCAAAACATTTGGTAACACTTTATAATAACACTTTATAACCTTACTCATCATTAATAAATTCTTTATGAACATTGAAAGCATCATTAATTAGGTATGATTCATGCTTAATAAGCTACAAATTACCAGCTTTATTAATGCTTTACCCATAAAGGCTAATTACCCCAAAACCAACATACTCATTGTTTATTCTTGCTTAATAATTCATAAATTAACTATTCTATATACATCATATGTTAGACATGTATTAATGGTTAGAGAATGTTTGAATTGATGATTCCAGTCTGATTTCCACAGGTCAAAAGGAACTTGTGGCCCATCAGGGTTTTTTCTACATTAACAAATATGTAAAAAAAGCATAAATAATCTTCACTTTAGAAGGTTCACAAAAACTTAACTACTAACAACGGCCTTAATTAGTGATGCACTGCAGGATTAGTAGATAGTCAATTCAAATGTTCTCACACACATGGCGTGAAAGTATATTTAGATGAGCATTTATATACATTTACACACAATACATAAAATTGTTAATTTATGAGTTATTATGCATGAATAAACAATGAGTAAATAGGTTTTGGAAGTAATTCATCTTGATGGGTAAATCATTAATAAATTAGTTAACTTATAGCTTATTAAGTATAAATCATTTTTATTTAATTATATTTTCAAGGTTAACTAACCACAGTGGTGGACAGTAATGGAGTACATTTACTTGAGTACTGTAATTAAGTACATTTTTTGAGTATCTTTACTTTCCTTGAGTAATTATTTTTTGGGGAACTTACTACTTTCACTCCACTACATTTCAAAGACAAATATTGTACTTTTGACTCCACTACATTTCTTAAAAGCTTGATAGTTACTCTTTACTTTTGGCTCAGCATAGCTTTGTGATCCACCTTTGCTGTTTTCCTTTCTTGAAATGCATTTGGCCACAGATTATGTTCCTCACAATGGGAACCAATCACAGTCATAGCTCACACCTGGGATAGATTTGGAATTATGTCATCCTCATTAATGGTGGGGAGCTGAGCTCCACTTTCATTTCAAACAGAGCCCAGCAATGGAGACGGTTGAAGAAACTCGAGTGGAGAAACCAGAGCAACATGGTCCTATCTCAGCTCGATGTTTGAGATTTTAGGACTGAAAAATATTTTGTATCAGTTTAAATGTCTTGTGTTTCCGCCGTGGATAAACTACATTTTTGCATTTGACCTCACCACTTACTTTATTGCACTGTTATGCTGAAGTCTTTACAGGTAGTGAATTTGTAGCAGAGTGGTTCTACGCGTCAATACTTCAGGTGGTTTCTGAGAATTACAAGGTTCTGTAAATTCACTCTGAAAACAATACAGCAATGTACTGATATTAGACATTTTAATTTGTACTTTTGAATACTTTTAAATGCATGTATTTTTGAATACCTAAGTATTTTCAAAAGTAAGAACTTCAGTATTTTAACTTGAGTAGATTTTTGACTGAGTAAATTTTACTTGTAGTTGAGTAAGACTATGAGTATCAGTACTTTTACTAAAGTACTAGAGTTGAGTACTTTGTCCACCACTGTCAGGTATCTTTTACTTTTACTTTCAGAATTAAGTAAAACCTCAACAATTAAAAGGCATGATTTTAATGAGCAATAGTTACTCAATTAATTTTAAACTAAATGCCATTTATGTAAAGAAATTAAATAAAAACACTGTCATATACAACCATATGTTAGTTACATAATTTAATTTTAATAACTTTTATTGTCCCTCTGTGGGAAAATAAATTGTCTGTATTGTTTTTATTACATATTTGAGCACATATGTGGAGCAGTGAGCTGCCATTTGAARCTTCTGGTGGGGCTGATGGTGTTTGCTTGAGTGGCGAGTGTTGGGCAGACATTGTTGGTCTGGGGAGTTAAATAAAACCTTTTTTAAAGGTCAACMTTCAAGATACCTGTGCAACTAAAAAGTTAATAAAACAAATAAAAATGTAACTAATAAAACACTTCAAGACTAGAAAATGTGGTGTGGCTCCAGAGCTGCGGGTTGCCAACCTCTGTTCTATAGAAAATCTCTTTGCAACACTTACATTTTGTTGTGTGTGGTTTGCTTCCATCGGTGACAAACCCCAAATCCTCTTTTTTAATAAGACATTCTGCAGCACCTTTGCAACCATCCTTAGGGTCAACCATGTCTGTCTTTTAATGATGATGTCTGAAAGTAATCATTGGTTTGTGACTACAACAGAGTAACTTCTGGAGTCAACCTGGTTTAAGATGGCCATAGGTGAACAACCTTATCAAACACTAAAAAGGCAACAACTCTTCCATTGCGAGAAACACTGAGCTTAATTTGATGGGATAATAGATGAGTCATTCCAACACATACTCTGAATGCTAAAAGAGTGGAGATCCCAGAAGATTTCAGTCTAAAACTCTTGATGCAAGGCAGCAGGCATTAGCCACCCCTTCAGTATTTGCTGCTTTAAATAAAGCCCTATCATCCCTTCAAGAAATTCTTATTACTGACCAGCAAAAATGACAAGTTTAAGGATGATCCTTTGTTGACCAGCGTTGGTCTTGAAAATAAAATTTTGGCACAATCTCACAATTAACCTTACAACGTTTTGCTACAACTAATCATGAAACTTTTCTCTATAACTGATTAGTGCACCTTTTCAACTTGTCACAAACTGCTGAATTATCTAAATGAAAGTCCTACATTTACATACTTTGTGTGTGTGAATGTGTATAAATGTGTTTTGTTGCTTTTTTGACAACAAAAAAGCAAATTTTAAATTAAATGTGAATTCCTATTTTTGAATATGTTGAGTGACATTTTTCACTAAAGGTTTCTTTGTCGAGACAAAAATGTTTCGTACAGCTCTAACATTTTTTAGATGCTTTATTTTACATTTCTGATGGACATTCAAGTCCACAGTAAAACAAATGTTTCAGTCCACCAGAATATCTAATAAAAGAAGGGCTTTTATCTAGAGTGGACACGCTGATGGCTTTTCAAATTTCCTGACTGGGTGAATTTCTTCTCGCAGTGG